ATGTGCCAACCAGCTACTTGTATACAGCCGTTCATTTGTTTGTTTGTTTGCCAAGTGCACCACCGTCCACTGCACTAGCCAGGGTGTTGTTAGCACTTGTGGGCACAGCTCTAGTACACCACTACAAGTGTGGTGGAGGCCGTCACGTGGCCGGGCAAGGTTTGAGGTCGGGAGTGGACTTTACCTTGATGTGGGCGGGGGATGGGCGGCCTGGGGTGCTGGGGGCGGCTGTCGTCCCCCAGGATATAGTATTTGAGGGGCGTGGGCCCCCAAGCCTGCTAACTTGACAGGTTCCATACGGGGCTGGACTCCTCTATGTTGTAGGCTGGGTACACCGTGGCGCCCGCTGCCGTGTCGTCATCATCTGGGCGGGTTATGGAGGCCCTACACACTTCCCTCGCTACACACTGCTGCTGCACACCCCGACACACTCCAACACTGCACTCACTACACAACCACCCACGGAAATTTGCGATTTTGGACACAGAACAACGCACACGACCGATGCGCGCCACTTCTGTCGACGACAAATGGGCAAGTCCACTTTCTGGTGGGGGAGTAGGGACCAGTGCGCTGCTGCCGCCTCTACTGCACCAGCACCAGCGCACTACTGCAACGTCGCACAAGCACTCGTTCCCATATTTCTCTTTCTTTTACTGTACTCCTTCATGATTTTAATATATGTATCAATAGTACACCTACGTCTCGTCAAGTTGTCTCAGATAATTTTGTAATTTAACACCCAGTAGAAGCATCAGGCAGGTGAATGAGAGAGGAGGGGTAACCCGACGTATGCTTACGGGGTCGGCTTTCAGCGACAAATCTATAAATGAAGCTATAGGTACAGTATATTGAATTTTTATTAATTATTTTCTCGTCACAAATCCTCCTTGTGTGCTTCCTAACCCCGAGGAATTGCCGATATACTCGCTTCACCTCGCATTAGTTGTCCAGATCAATGAGGAGAAAATGTCGTCACAAATGAAGAGATATTTAGTACCATCAGCAAACATCATCTGTCAGCCAGCAGGACCTTCGTTTCCGTTCGATTTAAGGAAAAGAGGATCCTTACTCACCATCTGGCCCTCAACCACACGGCCAGAAGGACACACTCAACATACATCTTAACTATCGATACATAACTAGACTTACTAAATCTTATTATTTATATAAGTAAATACAGATGTTGACTGGAATTCACACAATGCATACGTTTTAGTGTTCCATGGTGTGTATGACCCTGACAAAGGATCCTGAACCTGATTACATTACTACCTGTGTATGTCCGGGCTAAGGGGGTGTTAGTTACAGCTGTTTGTATTTAGGTTCTGGTAATAGTGTGTACCCTCGTAAAACTTACTGTACCTGTACTTTTTTTTAAATACGTACATCTGTTAATCTAGGTTGGGGCAATACCTGCATGATGCTGTATCCATGCAGGTATAACTGTACCTGTACCTTTATAATTAAATATGTACCTGTTTTACCAGGTCTAAGTCACCATCTGTATGGTACAGTCACCACATGGGAATTTATGTACCTAGAAATTGAACTTGGATCATTTCATCGACAAATATATTTAAATAAATATCTAAAATTTGTTGAAAAGTAACTTCCTTAAATATAAAACATGAATTATTTAGTATATTGGAAGATGAGACCAAATAAAGTGTTGCTCACAGACGGACATTGTTAAGTGAGGTTAGGACAGTACAGTAACGGGTGGCGGAGGGTGAGGGCGATGTTGCCATTATTCTTGCCGTCTAAATTACTACAATTTTCCTCGTCATATGAAAATAAACAACACTGATGAATTTATCCGTACACACATGCATTAAGATAACAAGAGTAATATGTGAATTTGGATTTTTGGGGAGCAGTTAATATCCGGGACAAATTTTACTCCGATTAAATTCCTAAAAAGAAAAATGTTTCTAAATTAAATGGTTATTACAACATTCTTTAATAGACAATAACAGAATGTCAACAGGACTTGGCTCTACCTAAACAAGTACCCACATTACTCCCCCTCGGATGGAAAGGTCTTGATTTCAGTTGCGTTACAAAATATAAATTAAGAAAAGTTAAACAAGTAATAATATTTTCAAACCCTTTTAGGTGCATCAACTACCAGGGTTATTTAAATCACACATCTGACACGTATCCTCCCCAAGCACCAGGTGACACAACAAACCTATCTAAACCTTCATTATATTAATTGCTCTTCTGTGATTGGTTCTTCAGCTATCATAGACATTAGATATTACAGTTTATTTCACCTGGTGATTAACATTGACGCTATCTGGAAAGGGAGATGGTCCTTTGGTTAAGTTAAGTTTTGATTTTTTTCTTATGTTAGATTAGCATTGTGGTGTTCAGTCATCAATTGAAATAAGTGGAGGTTCGCAATTTTCAAGAGATCCAGTTCTTGTAATCTCTCTCTCTTTAACTCTCTCTCTCACTCTCTCTCTCTCACTCTCTCTCTAATAGCAACCTTCCCAGACACGCACTATTTCGTCACTAAAGACGAGATGGCCTGAGGGAATTTTACACCCAGTTCAAGTGACCCTCCAACTCGGCTTCCCTTATCCACATTATACTGAACACATTTTCCAACTTCATTATTTTAACATAGAAAAATTTACTTCCTTATTAACTCTTAATGAGGATAATGTATTGATCTCGTGTACGGTAATAGTCATCCTCATACCCGAGAAGTTATCGTACTCCAGTGGGGTTATTATCGTACCTGAGAAGTTATCGTACTCCAGTGGGGTTATTATCGTACCTGAGAAGTCATCATACTCAAGGGTTATTATCGTACCTGAGAAGTTATCGTACTCTAGTGGGGTTATTATCGTACCTGAGAAGTTATCATACTCAAGGGTTATTATCGTACTCCAGGGGTTCAATGTCACCTGGAAAATATGTACATGTGTACACGCGATATCGGTATTGATTTTCGGTGAAAAATTCATATCGGTTTATCGGTCCTTTCTTCGTATTTACATAAAATTTCGATTATATATATCGATCTATTGACGAACTCAGATGACTGGTCGTCTAGTTGTGGTAGTAGTAGTTCCTGTTGCAGTTGTAGTAGTAGTAATAATAGTTGTTGTAATAGTAGTAGTAATAATAGTTGTTGTCGTAGTTGTAGAAAGTAGTCGTAATAATAGTTGTTGTAGTAGTAGTAGTAATAATAGTTGTTGTAGTAGTAGTAGTAATAATAGTTGTAGTAGTAGTAGTAGTAATAATAGTTGTTGTCGTAGTTGTAGAAAGTAGTAGTAATAATAGTTGTTGTAGTAGTAGTAGTAATAATAGTTGTTGTAGTAGTAGTAGTAATAATAGTTGTAGTAGTAGTAGTAGTAATAATAGTTGTTGTCGTAGTTGTAGAAAGTAGTAGTAATAATAGTTGTTGTAGTAGTAGTAGTAATAATAGTTGTTGTAGTAGTAGTAGTAATAATAGTTGTTGTAGTAGTAGTAGTAATAATAGTTGTTGTTGTAGTTGTAGAAAGTAGTAGTAATAATAGTTGTTGTAGTAGTAGTAGTAATAATAGTTGTTGTAGTAGTAGTAGTAATAATAGTTGTTGTAGTAGTAGTAGTAATAATAGTTGTTGTTGTAGTTGTAGTAATTATTGTTGTTGTAGTTATATTTGGGTCGTCGATTTCGGGTCTTTGTGTTATTTTAGAATATATTTGGTTAAGTTAGGTTAGGTCAGGTTAGTTTAAGAGATTAATCTTATTTGCCTGCTGGTTTGCCAAGTATCGCCTGAGGTGTTAGGTTAATATCACCAAGATTGTCCTGTTGATATAAAATATGCCGACCTCATCAGTATTAAGTACTAGCCGTCTCATCACCTCCCTAAGTTATTCTCTAAAGTCCATCCGTGAAGTATATAAATAGCCACGGTCACACACACACACACACACACACACACACACACACTCTACAACACACACACACACTCTACAACACACACACGCACGCACACACACACACTCTACAACACACTGGATACTACACTGCATACTACATTAACTCAATATACTCCACACCATATACACTACACAGTACACTACATTATACTATACACCACACCACACCACACCACACCAGCTCCTGCCACACTATCATATTATAACACCACCTAGGTTCGCAGGTGTGTGTGTGTGTGTGTGTGTGTGTGTGGGTATACCTCAACGTCTGTTTGTCTGTTTGCTTAATTACAAAGAAACACCTTTGAAGATTCGTCAAACTCAATGTAGGTTTATCATATACATTTGTGGTCATGTCAGAGGTCAGTATAAACATGGTGAGAGCAGCAGCCAAGTCATCCCTACCCCAGCTTAGTTCACTTGATGATTAAACCGTCTATCGCTACTTACATTAGGTTAGGTTAGTGTTAGATTAGTTAAACACTGGTTTGGAAATAGAGTGGAACAAGTTACCAAACATCATCATTCACTCGAGCACGCCAGGTAGTTTCAAATATAGGCTGGACAGACATATGGGCGATAGGGGTTGGGTGTAAAGGGACCTGCCTAGTATGGGCTAATAGGCCCACTGCAGTTTCCTCCATTCTTATGTTATGTTAAGTTAGATTATATTAGGTTAGGCTAGATTTTTTTTTACGGGAATTAGCCCAACCGGGCACAGGTCGAACGACCCACAACGCAAGGGGCCGAAAAAATAAGAATAAAAAGAAATTAAAAATAGAAAGGAAACGGGTTATATTAATAACACCACGAAGATGTTATTATAGGTTAGGTTATGTTGGGTTTAACTAGTGCTTTATTATGTTAGGTTCAGTTAATAGTATACAATTGGATGGAAAATAAAATAACAAGTACAGTAGGTCGGAACCCCTCTCTCCGTTCCGGGGACTCCACGAATTTCCGAGAGTGATTGCGTCATGCTCAGAGCGCGTGGCGAGCGGGGAGGCCGGCTAGCGGGCAGCTCAGTGTGCTAGTGCGCCCTGATTGGCTACCACAGTCATGTGACTGCGTGAGTTGTCTACGATTCGCTGATCTTGCAGCCATCTTCTCTCCTCTAGTCTTACCATGCGGTAAAGTTCGTCGTGTGGTGTCTTGTAGAAACTTACTTCTCCATTCATTGCTGTTTTCACTATCCTATACTGTGTTGTACTGTACTGTTCTTGGATACAACCGGCCAAGAATACCGTTAATTCAGTATTAAACCGTGAAAAGTGATTACAGTTACGGATACTGTACAGACAATGTGAAAGGCTGTACGTACAGTCCATAGCAGTGAACAGTGTGCCCACTGTAGCCTAGTGTGTACAGTGTACAGTGATTGTACAATGCAGGAAGCTACAGAAAAAATCCCTGGCACCAAGGTGAATAAAAGAGGCCCAGTGAATAGACTCACATTAAAAGAAAAATTAGAGATTCTGAAAAAACTGGAAAATAGAGTGCCTGTAAAAGTCTTAAAGGAGGAATATAAAGTGGGCATGTCCACCATTTATGACGTGAAATATGCAGCAGAGAAGCTGAGGAGACAAGAACAAAAATCTCTTTTAGAGGCAAGTTTAGAACCTACCCTCTCCAGAACTCGCTTGGGTAGCGTAAGGTTTGCAAAAGTTGATGCTGCAGTGTATGACTGGTACAAACAGCAGCGGGCCAGTGGTATTGCCCTTCGCGGCATTGACGTCCGTGAAGCCGCACAGCGATTTGCAATCTTGCTGAACGTACCTGACTTCCGTGGGAGCTTTGGGTGGCTCTATAAATTTTATAAAAGGCACGGGATTAATACCAAGCGAGTGGCTGGCGAAATTGCTCCTGCTGATGTGGCGACGGTGCAGCAACTTCAACAACTCATGCGTGACAATGACATACAAAAGTATGAAATTTATAATGCTGATGAGACATGCCTCCACTGGAAGTCAATGCCTAACAACACCATGGCATCCCGGCACGAGAGCAGCACCCCTGGACTAAAGGCCAGCAAGCAGCATGTGTCAGTGCTGTTGTGCGCCAATGCTGCTGGTACCCACAAGGTAAAACCCTTAGTGGTGGGAAATGCCCAGAGCCCCAGGATGCTGCATAATTCTATGGATCAGCTTCCTGTGTCGTGGTGTAGTAACAAAAAGTCCTCGCTCACCCGGGAATTATTTGTAAGCTGGTTCCTCAATGATTTCGTCCCTGCAGTCCGACACTTTCAGATGACAGTCCATCGCATTCCTAGACATGAAGTCAAGGCCTTGCTCATCCTTGACCCTCAGCCTGTCCACCGCTCTCAAGATGAGTTACAAAGTGCTGATGGGCGGATCAGAGTGAAGTTTTTGCCGCCCAACACTGCCTTACTCATACAGCCCATGGACCAGGGCGTCTTTCTGGCCTGCAAACAACATTACAAGCGCCTCTTCTTGAATGACGTTCTGGCTGTGGAACCAGTGCCAGAGGGGGAGGAAGACACACTGCTGGCCAGAACACTGCAGAACATCAAGGACTACAACATCCGGGATGCACTGTACAACCTAAAGGCAGCCTGGGACAAGATAACAGAGACCACAGTCAGGAATGCATGGAAGAAGCTCCTGAATGGGGGTGGTGGTGGTGTTGGTAGTGGTGCTGCAGAAGCTGTGTCACAGCAGGAGGATGCAGCCTTCGAGGGCTTCGAAGTGGAAGAGGCCCAAAGTCTTTTCCGTTACAGTGGTGACACTGCCGTGACCGAGGACGATGTGGCTGAGTGGTTGATGGACGTTGTTGATCATGGCTGCCTCCTCACCCAGGAGGAAATAGTTGCTGGTGTCCTCAGATCCTATGGAGAAGGACAGGAGGAGGAGGAAGAAGTGGAGGAAGTTTCCAGCATCATTAATCTCAGAGAGGTGAGGGCACACCTAGACGCCCTACTGAATTTTACGGCCGCCACTGATCTCCTCCGCTTAATTCCATTTTACCAGATCCTTCGGGATGTAAGAGCAGTTGTTATTGACGAGCTGCAGAGGAGGACCAAAAAGAAACAGAGTAAGATTGGGGACTACTTCCCAAAGGTCACCAAGTGTACAACTGATGTCTCCAATGTCAACTGTCAGCCAAGTACCAGTGGTGACAGTGTTTTTGGCCTCAGCCCACAACCCTCAACTTCAAAGATGTCAGACCTACCACCTTTACCATCACCACCACCACATTCACCTTCACCTTCACCACATGGTAGTGTCACCACTTGGTCTGCCTGCATCACAAGCTCAAGTCTACAGCATCTACTAGTGAGTACAGTATAGTGTATGCAGTAGTATATCTTTTTATATTTACAATATACCTGTGCAGTTGTGTCATGGCTAGTATTAAGCAATACGCTTCTCCAGGTGGCTCGGGAAATACTGTACCATAGCTCAGTTTTTATAGGACGTAATTCAAATAACCGCTTCCACAATCGTTACTGTTACAGTTTTTGACAACGTTATACTTTTTGGGGGAAGTGGGGTGTTATTATCATATAAAAAACATGTACAAAGACAAAAACTAATGTACTTTGAAAATCATATAGAGGGCTTCAGAAGCACAAGGCCGCAAGTGTCACCGCCGTGGATATTGAGTTATTGGTACCAACGTATTTTCTAAGTTTAATTCTGTCTTGTGAAGCTTGAATTTGTGGCCTTGCTCAGTACGTCAGCACGCGTTCGTCACACAAGGCCGCAAGTCTCACGCACCGCGTCCCTTTAACTGCATATCAGCCAATGACAGGCGAGCTTCTCTCACTCTGCTAGCTGCCTCGCTTTGTCGGTCTTCAGTCTTCGCGTCCCCGGCTACTTTCAAGTTGTGGCAGCGTGATTGCTTGGATTTATTTACTATTTACGACAGTTTTAGTTCATAAAATACATCATGGTTGATAGTGATCGTTCGTCAGTGTCTAGTGGCAATGGGAAGGGTGCTATTGACGAGCCAGGCCCATCACGGGGCTCGAAACGAGTGAGTAAAGTGGACACGTGGAAGCAAGTTAAAAACAAGCGTGCACGTGACTCAGGGAAAGCCTATGTGAGTAGAAACACTGGAAAACTTATGGCTGAGAGGAAAATAGGGCCCCCGTGCCGTGATGGGTGTTTTGACAAGATAACGATGCCAGTGATAGAGGAGGTGTTCAAGAATTTTTGGGCCCTGGCATCCTATGATAAGCAAACAGCATACCTGCTGTCGCTCATGGATTCCGTGCCCGTGAAACGCCGCCGAAAGCCGCAAACAGACGACGCACCAGCAGCCCGATCTCAGACTGTGCTGTATAAGATTGTGTACAAAGGTGACGACCTTCCAGTATGTAAAAACGGGTTTCTCTCCATCTTCAACATTGGGGAGAAGAGGGTGCGAAACGTTATCAAGAAACTTACGCTCACTGGCACCCCCATACCTGACAAACGTGGTAGGCATGAACCTGGCAGCATGATCAAAGGACTGGCTGCCGAGTGTGTTCGTGAGCACATACGGTTGGTGCCTAAGGTTTCCTCCCACTACACACGTGCTAAGTCCCCTAACAAGAATTATCTCTCGACTGAGTTAAATATGAGTCAGTTGTACGAGTTGTACAGAGCCTTCATGACAAACAAATATCCCACTGTGGAGAAAGTGAAGCTCAGTTATTATAGAAATGTTTTTAATACTGAGTTTAACATAGGCTTTGCTCCTGTTCGGGTGGACACGTGTAGCACGGGCGATCTTGTTTGTGGAAAGATTTCTACCTACCAAGAAGAAGCAGAGGCCTACTACGCCGATGTCAGGGTTAGTACCCTATAATAGTATATTTTCACTTGTTTATTTTATTATTATATAATAATAATAAAAAATTCCTGTTTAACACATTAAACACCATGCACGTACTTTGAACGGGGGTGCGCGCGCATGTATGACACTCATAAACAAAACCTTACAACAAATATCTTCAAAAGTAAACAAACCCTCGTCCACATCTTTGTTGGTTGAGGAATAACAAACGAAAAACTTCAGGGGCTTGTTTCTCACTTTTTAAAACACAGCACTTGCGGCCTTGTGATTCTGGTGCTGGTCAATTAATCACATTCGAGTCTTCAGAAGGTACACAGTGATCACACTACTTACTACCCGGGTCATGCTTATACTTAACTATAGACAATATTATTACTAAAACTTATTGAAAACTTACTTAAATTCAATAATTCTTTCTTAAATACAAAGCTACTTACTTAAAGGGAAGACTTCATACTTACACTTACCTAAACTGTACTGGGGGGTAAGCTAAGCTGCCTAATCTTTAGGCTAAGTTAACCTGTCAACTAATCGAATACCTAGAATTTGACTTTAAACTAAGCTAATCTCACATAAACTTAAGCCAATCTGATTGATAACCCAACTATTTAATTTCTAAGCTAAACTAACTTATACTTTAAGTTGTCGAAGCAGAGAGAGAGAGAGAGAGAGAGAGAGAGAGAGAGATCCCAGTATCCTCCACCACTTGGATCATTGCCCATTTACCACGCCCACCACCACCACTGCCACGCCCACCACTACTACCACCATCACTGCCACGCCCACCACTACTACCACTATCACTGCCACGCCCACCACCACTACTACTACCACGCCCACCACCACCACTACTACCACCATCACTACCACACCCACCACCACTACAACCACCATTATTACCACAACTGGGAGGGTGAGGAGATTGAAGGGAGCCCAGATAGTGTGATGATCCTGGCTTGCTTTAGTGGTACAATGGGTAGGGAGGGAAGGGCTGTTCTTGTTACCTAAAGTCACTACAATGAATGAAGACCCAGGCATTAAGGCTCTAGAGGCCCGGGAAGACCCCAGAAGTGAATAAATATACTAATGAGAATAATATTGATAATGATACTACTACTACTACTACTAATAATAATAATAATAATAGCATATGTACTGTATGTTCAGGCCCTCTAACCAGTTCCTTGATATTTGTAACCTCGTCGTCACCAGTGTACAGAAACTTCCTTATCAGACTGTCTCGACCTCATTGAGAGACAAAACACAAATCGTACTGTGCGTGATAATGAATAAATGGTCATACTAGAGTGCAAGGCTTTCTGTTGACCTTTGACCCTGACCTGAAGGTAATTAGTGAGGGTCGTGACTGAGCATGGTGGTCACTGGAGCGAGGTGGTGGTGGTTGATACCATTTCTTAAGGATGTCGTTAAGCTCACGGAAGCGTAGTACAATCTTTATCAATGACATTTGACCGTGACCTTTGACTGATGATAATGATCAGAATGCTTTAGTAGTTTATTATTAGTCTTAAGCCGATCACCCAATGATATATCGTCATCGGGTGTCAACTATAGATGATAGTACAAAGCTGATGTTGTGATATATCACTTCACCCTTGAATAATAACTAAGTGTCTTTAAGCAACTGCAATAAGTCATCCAAAAATAAAACTCTAGAGAGATATTGTAAACGAACATAACCGATTCAGTATACTTAGAGATTTCTTAGACATAATGATTAATAAATAAACAACAAGTTCATTTCGCAGCTGCTTTGGGACACCGACGGAATTCTGTGTTTAGGAACGGAAACCATTCGTCATTGGAGTGATATTTCGCATGCAGTGGTGGAGGTCATGTCAGCAGGCAAAACTGCTGTCTCGGCATGAAGGACTGACCTGCATGACAACCACACTACCACGGGGTCCCAACGTCGCCAAGGCTTGTATGTTAAATTTGACTTTTGAAATCTAAATGTGAGAGCGCTTCTAACGGGTTTCTTTAACCTACGACACAAAGATGGATCCTCAAAGTTTCCGACATTAATTTTCAAAACGTAATGAGATATGGCTAAGTATCTGTCTCACTTAAGTTGCGACACAAAACTGGATTCTCAAAGGTTCTTAAAGCATACGATTCACTAATGCTTCGACACAAAGAGGAGTTTCTCGGTCTCACATAGTAGGTAAAGTTGACTACTAACTGTTGCTGTGAGAGGCATCGAACCATCTCACTTAATATTATGGATTCTCAAAGATCTGTGCCGTGTATGCAAATTAAGGCCATCATATACATATGTAGAGCCTGTGTGCATGTATTCTGAATATATTTCTCCAAATATACATACATGGACGTGTGGCATTTTAATTAAGCGAAATGGTACACGTACTCGTATGTATGTATGAATGTCCACAAGTACATGTAGATAAATAAATATGAACACTTGACGACACGCTTTGAGGGAGAAGAAAGGAAAAGAGGAGGAGGAGGAGAATGAATAGGTGTAATGATGAAATAAAATGTAAAAAATAAACGACAGGCCAGGCACCCAGAGTATGGATATACTTTAAGTCGAACGAGCGATATATCCTCGAACACACTCAATAAAACTAGTGTTGTCTAATATGTTAATTGCAATTTTGGGAATAATAATAATAATAATAATAATAATAATAATAATAATACTGTATTGTTATGTTCAACTTGGGGAAAGTAAAGAAGGTCGAGTGTTGCCTCCTTGTACACCGAAGGCTTGGCACAGTCACGCCTATGGGACCCACGTTCCACCATATACTATAATTTGCTCGTTTGTGTTACTGTGGACGGACTGGCAGGCCACTTATTATATACAGATAAGTCATAGTTAATTCCATCTCTGATCATTGTTATTTCACTGCATAAATTATTTTTAATTAAATTTTGGATGATAATTTTGTTGATTATTTTGTCAATTTGTTTTGCTGGTAATAATAGAGTTTATAAGAATTTTATTATATATATATATATAATGATGATAACTGTGGACCGATTATCATTATTAATGATAATTGGCTGGATATTGATTATATCAAGGTTTAATTGTTGAATTGTAAATACAGTAATTAAATTTATGCCCAATAGATTGTTATTGACGGTAATTAAGATAATTGCCTAATTAGTCATTAACTGGTTCAAAGAGTATTTAGCATTATTGATAATAGATGACATTATTTGTTTTATATGTTAGGAAATAGTAAAGGTAAGATATATGACCTGACTAAGAGAGAAGTACTAGTTATTTATATAATGACATCCAATTGGTTGAACCCCTTGAGTACGGCACAGTACCTAGGTCCTTGAGTACAATATCATCGTACTCAGGGGAACGGGACGTCGTACTGGAATTTAAAACGCCGTAATCAGAGTAAACTCATTGTACTCAAAGATTAAGTCGCCGTACTCAGAGGGCTAAGATATCTTATTTACCTAATACACTGTACTCCATAGGATGCTG